GCTATAAGAGCGTTCTGATTAGTTCTTTGCTATTAAATAAAAATCATGCTCTACACTTACCACAGCCATGGTAGGTAAGCCTCGGGATCTATATCCCACAGACTCCTCAGGGAGAGCTGTTGGGAGCTTTGTGGATGTTGTAACACCCCCATGCATGGAGCTGAGTTCAAACTGTGCTGTCACTCAAAGCAGCAGTGATCCCAGAGAGAAAATGCATGCTACAACCCAGACAGTTGGATGTGTCTAATAGTCTTTAAAGATAGCTAATAGTCTTTACAAACATAAGTAATAATAAAAAGGCAATGCCTTTAAAGTTACCAATTTCTCATTTATAGATCTACAGATTTAATGTAGATATATAAAACATAATTTCATAACTACAATTCCATATATAATACTTTTCCCCTGAGATCCTGCTGAGCAGGGTGATGAGAAATGTTTTATCATATGAGCTGGCCATACCCTCATATTACATAATTCTGGAGCTAGCTTGCCAAATTTTTAAGGAAACTTTCCTGTATGAGTATCCAGAAGTCACTCTGGCATTCACATTTCCACTACCCCAGACTTTCACTGCTGGGACCAAAGTCCCTGCCCAACAGATGGCTCCAGTGACCCCAGGGGTGTCCCTCTTGGCTCCCTGCACACCCCACACTCACAGTCAGACAGGGTTTCCTCACTGGTTCAGCCCTGGGTTTCCCATGGCAGAGTTACAGATGTCTGGAATCTTAAAGCAATCTAATTGTGGTGCACTAACACGAACAGCTCGAGCTGGTGCCTCTGGGGAGGGACCCCCAGCAAAGGAATCCCCAGGTTTTGTACTCTCCATGCCTGTGATAGTCTGGGGTCTTTCTGCTGAGCCCTTGGCTCCTGTGTCCCAGTGACCTGTCACCTGGCCACTGCCACAGGTCCCTTTGCTGCCTGAAAGGTCAGCACCAGATCACAGCCCCTTGCCTGGGGCTCCCACCCAGGCACAACCTGCAGCTCCCACTGCAGCTGCACACCCAGTACCTGCTCTAAGTGTATTGCTCAACAAAACATCCTCATAGCAGGATATAAAATCAGATCACCCTCTATTATATGTTCTATTACATTTCAAAGAAAAAATAAACCTAAGTCTAATAAATTTGTTTTAGTTTTTCAAGTCCTGTGGTGGAAGGTGGTCAGTGGTAATTTCTGTCTGGCTACAAATGAGTATGGATTATCTAAATCCTTATATATTGCAAGATGCTACAGATTGAGGGTTTTTTTCATCTATAGGTGAACTTCCTGCTGTAAAAAAATGTCTCAGGACTCTCTTCTGCTATCTGTCCCCACAATGAGCCCTAGAAAAGCAAAACACAGAGCAGGATGTGGGGATAGCTGGTGGAAAACAAGGGTTATGGAAAAACAGAGCTCCAAGGTAGCAACGCCTTCACTCTCAGAAGGTTGTCAAATGCACTTAAATTGTTTCAGTGGACTAGATAACAATAAGTCCCTTACCATTTTATCAAGGTAGCCAGGGATCAGGAAACCAAATGTGGCCCTTACTGGCCACAAGCCGCCACAAGCTTTTATCCAACAGTGTCCAGATGTTAAATAAGGGAGAAATGAGGCTGGTCTATTTAAAATCCTCTTTTCCTTACATAGGGGTCCTATCATGGACCCCTAATGACAAGGTAGACAGGAATCAACATATCTGTGCTTGTCACAGACACAGATCCTGCCTTAAATGTAGATGTCACGAGATGTCAACTTCCTTGCATTTAAATGGCATAATACAACAATTACTTAAAAATTCAGATGCTAAGCAAGTTGTTAGACATACTAAAAAAGGACATAAGCAAAGCAAGGTTTTGCAGAATCAGTACTTTTTCAAGATGAACACATATTTTAATCCATGGACTCAGAACTGAGTGACAGTCCAAAGCTGCAGACAAGAAAAACTCTATGGTTTTGGTCTTGACAGCAATTTTAAGTAACCACCATTTAGAAGAATTTCCAGATTCCAGCTAGGAAAAGTACAATAAGAACGGACCTTTTTTTTTTTTTTTTTTTTTTTTTTTTTTTTTTTTCCAGCTACTACTGCATTGCTTTTATAAGCCTTTTGAAACACAAACTTCTGTGCAGGATGAAAATGCATAATTTATGGTATTTCTGAATTTCAACATAGCCCGCCTTTCCTCAAACAATTTTCAGTCCATTTTTTTTTTCCCCGGCCTGCAAAGCCGTTTGAAGAGTGGCTGGGAAGTTTCTAATTTCCAATGTGTTGCTCACATGGGACAGATTGTATAAAAAGAGATAGATTCTAGATGAACTTGTAGAGAAACACTGAACAGTGGGAGATGCCACAGGAGTAACAGACATTGCGAAAATTTTAGCAAGGGCAGAAGGCTGACAGTGAAATGGAACCTTGAGAAATCAGTTTGGGCTATTGATGGGGTGGTGTTATAACTGTCCTTCTGGGCCAAGGCAACTACTGTAGTCGGAAACAGATCCTTTAAAAACATTATCAGAAGCAGAGACAGTCCAAAGTGATCCTTTCCCTGGCAAGCTGCTGTAATTTCTGGCAATCAGTGTCTTCCCAGTCAAAAGGTGAGCTGTGTTCAACAGCTGGGGAAGTACACAGGGAAGCAATTATTTGTCATGTCTCAGGACATGACAAATAGCCATACAATGACTAAAGAAGACACCAAAAATTCATCAGGAGGCAGTTTTAAAAGCTGAGAAAGTGTATTTTTGCATAGTATTTATTTAAATTGTGGAAGACAGACATGGTTGCTTGGAGGCAAGATTAGAAATTAGGTCAACAGCAGTTAGAATTATGGAGGATATATCCAACTGTCCATGCCATTCATTAAATTATAGCTTTCTTTTGCATCACCTCATTTCATCTCCTCTTCTCTCCAAAGCATTTCATGGAAAGAATTTCAATTCTGCCACTTACCCTCCAGGATGATCAACTTTGCACATGAACCTCCACTGTTTTCAACCCCTATTCTCAGAAGTTTTAACACTTTTTGTCTGTTTGACCAGGTGCAAAATTATATTTTCACATAACAAACAAAATATCTGAATGCTCTTTCCTAAGTATCAATAATTTACTTAAGCCACTTCATTTTAAATATGTTTCTTTTCCCCACTTTGGACTTGGGTGGATACTCCATTAAAATAAAGCAAAATCATGACCAATCACCACATATGTTAAGAACATTGGAAAAAAAAAAGTAAACAGAAAACCAGTTTTAGGAAAAAAAACTTTTTAGAAAAAAGTTTTAGAACTCTATTCTAAAACATAATTTAAAACTAAAGCCGTAAAATATGCAACATAAAGAGCCAGCTTGCTATACTTTGAATATTGCTTCCAGATGTGATAGGCTGTAGTCAAAGAAACGTGTGCTCTCTAATTTTTTTTTAATATTGGATAATATTTAATATTTGAACTAGCCAGAGTCTACAATCTTTTCCTTTTAATACAGACATATTAATATTTACTGCATCTGCCATGGCAAATCTGGGCATCTGATTTGTATTAGAGTAAGTATTTGTGATCCTACTTGTGGGAATGCAGAGCATCCCTCTGGCTGCCCTGGAAGTTCTGGGACCCTGGCAAGGGGTCAGGAACTCCCCTGTACAGAGCCCTGAGAGACAGTCTGTGATCTCTGTCCATGGAAAAGAGTTTTCAGCCTTACAGGATGAATTACAAGCTCTGAGTGTTTGATATGAGTAATAATTAAGTGTGGCACGGGTGCAAAAGTAAAATTTTAGGATTCTAGATGAGGGGTTCAAAGGGGACAAGATGGAGGAAATTGGGTGTGCCTTGTCCTTTTCCTCCTTCTTCATGCCCTCCATGTTTCACTGTGGTGTTGGCATTTTTCTGTTGGTTCAGGCTGGGGACACACTGTCCAACGTAGGTGACAGATATTGGCACGTTATTGTAAATCCAGAACAGGTAGTTTGTGGTATTTAATGTTTGTGACATCCCACTGAGGGCAGAGCCCCACACGCTGCCCTGCAGGACAGACCTGCGGCAGGGCAGCAGAACATGTTAGAGATAAACAGAATAAACAACCTCGAAAACCAGCACAGATGAATTATGGCTTCTTCTTTGGCAACGGGGCTGAAAGACAGAAACTTTCTACAATCTCGAAATCATCAATACCACAGATTCCAATACCTACTGATATAAAATAGGTTTTGCTACCAATTTTTTTCAAGCCCACATGTGACTCCATAGAAGGTATAAAACCACCAACCATTAGAATAGTAAACTAAAATTATGCCGATATCTCTAAATAAACTAGAATTATGCAGATATATCTAAATTTCTGCAAAAAGTCCATTAATTTTCCTATTTAAATAAACAACCTCTTCATAGTTCCTCACAAATAAATATTAATGCATTCCCATTAGTGACAAACATAGCAAGCCCAAATTTATAAGTTACATAATGTTACTATTTTGCAGCACTTTTATACTACTTCAAACATTGAGGATAAATGTGATTTCTTTAATGGTGTCCCCTAAGGAACCTCAGTTAGAGAAGCACCTGCATTATCATCAATAATACCATTCCAGTCCAACGCTAAACTCACATCTGGTTTCACATGGAATCTGTATCCTGCTTTATATGGGTTCAGGTCCCTTGAATTGTGTAAGAACAGGCTGATGGCATCCCAGGCTGTGGGCAGAGCCTGTTCTTTTATTGACAGCAGGGTACAACTAACAAACTGAGCTGCCCACAGGTAACCCCCTGAGAGGTCAGACCTACAGGAGCATGGTCATTGGCAGTGTTAAAGCCAAAAGAGAGAACACAAAGTCCAAGAGAACATAACCACAACCTTCACAACAAAACCTGTTAATGCCAGCAACTCTGAGATCTGATATGCCTGAACACTGTACATTTAATCCACAATTTTAGGCAAGTTGAAACCAGACAAAATAACATGAAGAAAAGCAATACGATTAAGTGGGAGAGTAATTTTAAAAGGTTCTGAAACATTTTCAGTAATTTACTTTACCTTCTCTTCCAATGTCACTGCTGTTCTGCATCATTTCCCGTTCCTCTCCTACAGAGATTTTAATTTAGTAGTCACAGCTGTTTATCTTCATTTATCTTGACTGACAGGTGCTCATAGTGTAATTTAATTGTACCATGTCCTGCTAAAACAACAGTAAGAACACAATCTTCAAGAGAACAAAACAACAAAACAAACCCAAGAGATTCTGAGCACTTAGCAATTAATAAAGAGAAGTACTTTATTCACTGTAGCAGCAGAAGTCCATGCTAATTGAGCTTAAAAGTGGAACAGGACACGAAGCAGTAGAGCCTAGAAGAGCTTAATGAAAGTATAACTCATTAGCGTTCCCAAAGAGACCATGAGAATGTGAAGGACTTGTTAGACAAGGATCTACATAGTTGGGGAAAAAGAAGTTTTTTACTGAAAAAAAGGAACACTGATTTTCTGGTAGGAGTAAGAGAAAACATCTGTGTTCTGTGTTAGAGAAAACATCGCCATTGGGGTAGCATGGGATAAAAGATTAATGTCAATATTTAGCATAGTTTCACTGTATCAGTTGTCAGGAAATGTTGCCATGTAAAAGCAGTCAAAATAGAAAATAATAGGTGAGCAGGAACATTTATATCAGGAATCAATAGCTATAGAGGACAGGTGCAGAACCAGGAGAGCACAGGCCTCACAGACAAGACAAAGGGAGAGCTGAAGGCATCCAATTAACTAATTACTGCTGCTAAAAACTAAGAGCGAAGAGAGTTTCTTGCTGATGGAAACCATTTTCCATACCACAGAGGGATCATGAGCAGGGCAGGGACCACACCTAAGCCCTTCAAGAAGCTGAAGGAAGCTTAAGTTTGGCACCAGCAAGTCTCTTCAGCCCTTCAAGAGAAGCTGAGGAGGCACCATGGAGGAGCACATCCTCTCAGTGTGAAACACCTGGGAATACTTCTACAACTTACACCAGCCCAGGATTATTTATTCCTTAACTTTGTTCTCCTCAGCGCTCCACCAAAACATAAAATTTAAACATGCTGTTACATCAACCAGAACATAAGCAGAGAATTTCAGCCCTCAGGTGCTTTCCACCTGCACAGAGGCTGGATTGTCACGGTGATGGACCTGCTTTGGCGGGGTCTTCAAACTCTGGGAAGCATTGGAGGTGTCCCACATCGGGCGGTGTGTCCCACATCGGGCGGTGTGTCCCACTCCGGGCGGTGTGTCCCACTCCGGGCGGTGTGTCCCACTCCAGCCTGCGTGTCCCACACGGACACAGCAGCCCCCACAAGGCCGTTTTCAACGCCCCTCACACCCCGGTGCACAAGCCGTGAGAAAGGAGGGGAACCGAGCCCCACGCCCCCCCACCCAGGTACACACACACACACACAGAGACAGCTCCAGGCTCCCCCCTCTCTCCCCACGGGCCGGTTCCTACCTGCCGGCCGTGCCGGGGCCGCGGGGAGAACGGGAGAGCAGCGGGGAGGGAGCGACAGCGGCCGCCCGTCGCCCGGCAACGCCGCGGCCCCGGCACCTGGGGCGGCCCCGGGCCCGCCCATATATCCGCCCGTCCGTCCTCCCATGGCAGCGGCCCCGCTGGAGAGGCTGGAGAGGCTCCCGAGGCCGGAATGGATCACGGCTCGGAGTGGTAGAGCAGCGTGCTTGCAGTGGGAAAAGCAGCAAGGCAAACAGCGGGGGGGAACAGGGGTGGGCAAGGAATTGAGGGCAGGAACGGGGCGGGAAAGGCAGCAGGACCCTGTGTGGGGTTTGGGTGACAGGTGCTCACACACTGAAGGAGGGGCTGGGGACATCTCTGTTCCGCACAACATCCAAAACCCTTGCCGGCCGATGAAAAACTAACGACATTATCACGACAAAGGTGATCCCACACACCTGAAGTGTGTGCAAAAAATGCAGCTTGTGGCAGATACAAGGCTGGTTTCACCAAATGATTTTGCATTAAAAAAAAACCCAAACCAAAGCAAACAAACAAAAAAAAAAAAAAACCCAAACCAACCAACTAAAACCCAAACAGATTCAAAGAATAAATTTCCAGACCAGAACTGTCAAAAGATTAGACATGTAAGAATGAAGTTTGTAATAATCTGGATCCAACATATGTGATGCAACTTTTGTTGGTGACACCATCAAACATCTCAGTGCAAGAGTGCAGCTCTAGTACAGCTCTTACCATTCTCACTCACAGAAGATATCTACATTTCCACATTTCAATATAGGATTTGTAAATCAGGCACCTAGGAAGATGTGATTCCTATCACATCCTCCTAGGTGCTCAGTGGTCCCACATGAAAAGTTTGCTTTTTCAGGGGTTTACATTCAGGATGGTCCCAACATTTTCTTGGGAACAGCCCTTAGCAGTGTTTCTCCCAGAGGCAAGAAGGCAAGAGGTCTGGAGGGAAGGCACAGATTCCTGCCTGCCATGCAGAAGCGGCGGGGGTTTTGACTACACTACTTGCATGCAGCTCACCCCCTCACACCTTCTTTGTGAGGATGTGGGAGAGCAGCAGCTGCTGATGGATTGCATCAGCATTTCCTCTATAACTACATCCAATTTACTTTAGGGTTTGAAAAACACTTAGACCGTGGGTCAGGAAATGTGTTGACTCCCCTCTTGCAGGGTCTGATGGTCAATTAACATCAGAGAGAATCACCAGGGGTCTGATTTTCCAAGGTGATGAGCACACTCAGCTCCACGTGGTGTCATTGCAATCCAGCTGTCCATCTTCACAGGAAGGAAGGCAATGGGCCTTGACATGCTCCAGGAAGGTAGTGTGATTCAGTGAAAACAATACTGAATCAAGCATCTGCCCCTGGAATTTTTTTCCCAACTCTGCCATTTTTTTTTTTCCAGGTAACTAGCTCATATCACCTTGACTCAGTTTCCCAACATACACTTTCTTGGGACACACTTCCCGAAGGTTATCTGTGAAGCACATGTACTGTGTATGCACATGTCTGCATGGTAATTTTCTTCTTTTCCTTATTTTGCTGGAAATAATCTACTTACGGACAATGCAGTCTGAACTATTTGAAACCAATTGAAGAAATGCATCTTTCCATCACTGAGGAAGAGAAAATTCTGGCACCATTTCAGGGTAGATACAGAAGCTTTATGTCTCTTTATTCAAAGTTACTGTAATTGTGCTGGCACCATTCCCAGAGCTCAGCTAAGGTCAGTGAGAAATCTTTAAATTAATAACTGCAGAGCTGATGTGATGTCTATCCAGGAACCATGTTGTACATTCACAAAGCTTTATAGGAAAGAAAAGTTATGTTTCAGTTTATCCAAGAAAGTTTTAGAATCTTAGTATTGACAATTAGCATACCTGGGACCTACCTGGAGACAGTGGACCTGATTTTGATCTCACAGTTCACAGGAACTCCACAAAATGTGTTACTCTGGATTAATTCCTTTTGTGCTACCCAAATGAACAGGAATTGGGTGAAGCCTCCTCTGAAAGCCAAGCCTAGATAAACATGCTTTTCCTTTGGGAGTCTTATTTTACAAGGATAGATTTGTCTGTTCTTCTGGTTTTATTCAGTCATAAGCAGCATTCAGTCAATCCAGTCTATAATTAAAATTATTGATCAATAGATAATCACTGTTTCTACTTGCATAATTAACATTTAAGATTTGATTGTCCTACAACTCAGAACCAGAGGGTACTTTCTGGTCAGAGAAAAGTTTTCTATTATTGAACATAAACCATCAGACTCATTTAGATATGTATTATTGTCTCCCCCCTTCTGAATAATTGTTCAAAGTGTCTCTCTGAAGGTAGTTCCCTTTGCAGCCTGATCTCTTACTCTCATTAGTAAGCCCTGTGATCACCTGTTTTCTTGTGAGAATCCCTTTTCTAGCACAACTTACAATTTCATAGAGTCATAGAATAGTTTGGGTAGGAAGGGGACTTTTAAAGGTCATCTGGTTTAAGTAGGTAATACAGAACAAGGATATTCATCTCCATTTTTTTCAAAAAGACAAAACTCAAAACTAATCTGAGATTAAGTGGAGAACTCATCCTACAGTACTGCCACCCCCTTGCAGACTGCGGTTCTGCTAGAAAATGTTCCCATCTTCTTGTATCGCACGATAAGCAGAACACTGGCAACTTTGGTAATTCTTCTATTGGTTAAGAAGTAGCAGCTACTGTCGTATTTTCAAAAAAAAATCAGCTCAGGTCTGCAGAAACAGCTTTGAAGTCTCGACTGTGGCATTAACCTCATGATTTCATGTGATTGAAGTCACTGTATTCAGGAGATGATGTAAGAACAGTTTCAACCACAGCAGGTGTTTAGAAGTTCATCATCAGAAGCAATGCATGAGGCTGAGAGACTGATCCAAAGATCCAGAGGATGACAGGAGTCTGCAAATTGAATTTATTTTTCTGTTACTGCACCTGGCATGAAAAGAAAGGGAAATGAGAGAATCCAGTTAATAAAACATCTCTGATTCAATAAATCTGGGCATTTGTTTTTGCTCCTTTTCACAGGCTTATGTGAATTCATAAACTGCAATCAGAAGGGAAAGCTTCGTCAGGAAACATTTGGCATTTTGTACAAAGCTGTATCTTTTCAATCTGAACTAGACCTGGAAAAACTTTTGATAACACTATTTTAACTCAGACTGAAAGATGGGCATTTATAGTTTTATGTTACCCTTGCTTCTATAAACAAGTGAACCAAACTACTGATGTCACCAAAGTCGCACAGCATGACAGAACCTGTCTCCTCTCACTGCTGGATGCTTGCTCAAGGAAGTGAACACCCTCCTTGGCTTGGTAAATTTTTGGGGTACTAGAAGGCAATAAAAACAGCAAATGGTACCTTGTCATGGTGTAGAGCCTCTCAGGGAAAAGGTAAGCTTTTTTTAAGCTTTTTTTTAAGCTTTTTTTTTTTTTTTTTTTTTTTTTAAGGTAAGTGTTGGGATATCTCTTTAGCTTAAATCCTGACTCAGCTCTGCTGGGAGGGAAGACCTCTGGAGGAATCCCACTTACTTTAAAGCAATACCCAGTGCAGATGCCACACCAGAGGAATCTTTCCTTCCTTTGCACTATTGCTTTAGAAAAGCAGATTCTGGTTCATGACCAAGAGGTTATACTCAGAAGTAGTTGCATTACTGTGCAGTCAAGATGATTGATTGGGATGAAAGACATGGGGTAGCAAAGGTGAGATAGGACAATGTATTAATATTTGAGCCACTGAGCCAGGACTGCCTAATTCCAGAAGGGCTATTTCCTATTTCTTCCTTAATTATAATGAAAAGTTGTAAATAAATACATTTGTAAATTGTAATATTTTTCTTCCTTTACATTTTTCAGGAAAAAGGAAACAAAAGCTTATTATCTGAAAAAAATACTGAGAGACAGAAAAGTATACTTATACTCCCTTCTTTATATAATTCTTGACTCCAGATGAATAAATGGAAACTTGAAAGGCCTGTGTGTATATTATTATTGGTTTGTGCCTCTGTTCAAGGCCCTCTACCTTTCTCAGATTCTTTTGGGTGAAACTATTTCCTGGTTTAGGAAAGCTCAAGGATGCTGTCTACACACATGTGCTTTTCCAGTGTATGGTATCCTGTCCCACGGTATGGGACAAGTCCAAAACTTCTCTGCAGCTGTCAGATGGTAATCTTTATCAAAGAATGGGTAGATATAAAACCCAATGTTGTTACAACTGTAGTATCACTATAGGGCTTCATTCAGTTTAAGTGTATCACTGTGCTTGTTGTGGTAGGAATCCTCTGCAAGAGAAAGTCTTGCTGAGGAGCCTTAAAAATGGCAGGCTTAAAATCAAAATATAAAAGAAAGAGCACAGGCTGCAGGATTAACACCCCTGGGACATGAAATGTCTCTTCCTGATGATATTTATAATCCACACCTGGACCACATTGTTGGTGGTCCTTGCATTTCTTCTGGGATGAATTCCATGGACAATGATTGAGCTACAACTTTGTTTTCAACATTAAACTAAGGGGAAAATGAATTGATGTTGGAAAGGAGTTACGGTCAGTGACTCTTTATCCACAGTTTTTCAGGAGCAACATTTGTTTTTTTTCATTGCTTGCTGCAGTGTAAAGGAACCCGTGGCCTCACTGTGCTTTTTAGGTTTGTTTTTCCAAGCAGGATTTAGCTGTGAAATTCATCTAGCTGTCTTCAGACAGGGAAAACAGCAGCTTTCCCATGTGTACTTGCTTTTTGTGCCAATGCAAAGCCACCATAAAATGTTACCGAATTAGAAAGGGTTTGCTGTTTTCACTTCCCATCAGTGTGACAACATATGATGTGAAGCAGTGGAGAAATTGGGGCTTTAAAAAAATTTAATCAGGTCAAAGCACCAGCTTGCATGCCATTACACCACTTGTTTGCATGCACTTTGCACAGTTCAGAGCTTACTCTGAATGCAACTCATGTACACTGGGGCTTTCAGCCATCACAGCAACAGCACCACTGTGAGCCACACTACGGACAAGAGCTCTGGCAAGAGTCCTCAACAAATCCCTGTCCTACAGGGCAGGAAGTAAGGTGGCTGGAGTAGTCTGCAGATGTGGAGGGAGGAGATCAGCAGGTAGATAAATGGGGCCGGGCAGTTCTGCAGACTAGAACAAACATTGTGCATTCCTGTGCATCCTTGTGCTTGCCCATATAATCATAGGGCCAGCACCTGCAGCCTGAAGACACGGCTCCCTGTCCTAACATTCTAAGAGCCAAAGTCATCCTTTTGCCTCAAGTGCCTTGCCTATCCCCAGGATTGTTTCAGCTCCACAGTCCACGAGGCAATTTGTGCTTCCTTCTGGCTCAGCATCAGTGAATGAATTGAGCAAAGGCAAAAATGGTCCTCTCTGCTCTGTCAAAGGAACCTTTGACCCTACACATCTGCTTCTGCTGCATGCAGGCAGCCTAGAGTCGAGTTCAGCAAATATTATACAGGAATGAAAAGTGATGCAACACACCACCATACCATACTGGGATTTTCCCTAGAATTTAAGCAGCTCAGGTTGCCTTTTCCATGGATAGCCTCTTTTGAAAGCCTTGGGATTCATCTCTATTTGAGTTACTGCCATGTATAACTTCCTCTAGACTACTAGAAGGAATCCCATCCTTATAGAGAATGAACAATGTTTCCCTGTCCCCAAAATGACAGGAGAGACCTGATTCCCAGGCATTCTTTATACAGCCTTGGCTCTGATTCTGCATAATGTGTGCCTATAAAAAGGACTGTGTACTTACATTCTAGCAGCTAAGTTAGATTACTGATGAGAAAAGATGTATTATTGGTATGCTTCTGTGTGTTTTATGCACTGTCTAAAAGTTTCAGTAAAAATTCAGTTTCATTGCCTAACTCAGAATGCTGGCCGAGACCCAGACAGATGTTCAGGTAGCGTTTCCAAGTATGGAAAACCATAAAACACATCCCAGTCCACAGAAATCTCAAACCTACCTCAAAAGCCTTGCTTAACAGCCTTTTCAAGGTTGGATCTGTCAGCAGCCCCACTGTCTGGTGACAGTACATGGCAGTGAAAATGGCATGTTGTCTTCCACAGGGGACTCCAGTCATGTTTGTAGGCCAGCTCTTTGGCCATGAAAACCTGCACTTTATCAATGCTCTTTGGCCTGAATGCCTGCACTTTTTGCTAATCTCTCTATCCTCTTTTCTTGAAACACCTTGGAAGAGACCATGGATTAACCGTTATACTGGTTGAACAGAAACTCCTAGTGGCTGAGCTGGGTGGTGGGCATGTGGCTGAGCATTTCCCTTCAGAAGAAGACAGAAATTCCGAATGGGAATCCTCCCATGTCCATAAACAACTGTTATTTGTAGGAGCCACGAAGCTCCTGTAGTACTGTGACTCACCTTCATTCACTTCCTTCACAGTCTGAGCAAAGACCTTTCATTCCTAGAATTTCCCACTTTTAGAAACAGAGATGGACTTTTGACATAGTGAAATGTGTGAAATCCCCCCAACAACTCCTGACACATCACCAGTGGCAGAACCTATCTTCCTTGGAATACACACAAGCTTCCCCTGCCCTGCCCTACAATGGCCACTTCCTATGCCATGCTGTGGATGTACTGACAGACCATTCCACATAATCTTGTGTACCAAACACTGGCAGCTGGCTAATATCTAAGTTATCAGTTGATTTCTCCCTGCAATAGCAGATCAAGT